TGCAGCGCTCTCCCAGCCCGCCCCCCACATCTCCCGAGACGCCTCTCACGGCCGTGCTCCACCGCCACCACCCCAACCCAGGCCCTACGAGGGTCCCGATCGCCCTCCCAAACTGAGCAGGTCCCAAGATGAGAAATTTACTTGTTGACACGCCCAGGAGCGTGGGAAGAGCCGCCCGAGTGGAAGTGCACCTCAGGGTGCTCGTGGACTGACCCACCGAGGAGCCCCCTCCCGGAGCGCGCTCGCCCCGGGGCCCGCATCGGCCGCCGGGGGGGAGAGAGGTGCCCAGAATGCTGAGGGATGCCCGGTGAGGGCGCCCGAGCCCCAGGCGACGCCAGTCTGAAGGCACCCGCCCATCCCCCGCGACCAGGCTGAGCCTCCCAGACCTTACCTCACCCGACTTCGGCAGCAACTCTGCTTTACGACATTCACGGCAACTGCTGCAAAAGGGGCCGTCAAGTGCGGAGCCGTGGACAGCCGGCCGGTGGGTGCCGGGGACATTTCCACCTTCCCGATGCGGGCCTCGGTCTGTCCGCGACTCCTGCCACTTCCTCTCCCCCACACCCCTCCGAAGTTGACAGCCCCTGGCGATGCCCTTGCTTTAGAGATCTAGCCACTGAGCAAAAGCCCTTTTCCCTCTCGCCGAGATGACAGCGGTGCACCGAGGCGACCTGACTTTTAGGAAGTGGACCGCGAATTGGAGAGGCACCGGCTGAGCTGTGTTTGCCAGATAAAAAATCTAGGATGCCAGTTAAGTGTGCATTTCAGAGAAACGAACAGTTTTTCAGGATTACCTCCCCCCCGAGTTCGGTTTGGGTAGCACCAGGTGAGATGGGCGCGGGGCGGGAACTAGCAGCTGCGTTGACTGCCGCCCAGGTTGGCGCGCAGCGCGGCATCCCGGCGCTCGCGGCCTGGCGCCCGGGCGGGGCTGGGGACCCGCGCACACAGTTCCGGTCTGTTCCTTCACTTTCAACAGTGTAGCCCGGAGGATCAGGTAGCAGTCAGTTTTGACATGCATTTGGGAAACTATAAAGCATTAAGCAAATCGCTGTAACTTTATTTCTACAAGAATTACTATTAACAGCTTATGGTAAAAACTGAAAATATCCCCTTCATATATTTGTCATCTAAACTTCTGTATTTGGAAAAGAATAAAATGAAAAGCCTTTATTTCCCAGGGTATGGCTCATACCAGTTTTTCGTTCCAGAAAATGTGCGTACATAAAGCTTATTCTGTAGAAGTCCTCTTATTACTTAGAACTCGTCCTTATATATTCTTAGGACTAATAGCTGGTAAGTTAGTAAAAAATGTAGGTAACACCCAAAAGAAGGAAGTTATCACACATTAACCACATCATTAGTCACAGGTACTAACTGTAGGGACCTAAGAAGGGAAAATTTGAGCATCCAAAAGAGTTAACTATTGATTGAAACACTTCAGATACATAAAAATTTTTGACTTCATAATTTCTTAACTCAGTCATGATTGAAAGTTTCCAGGGCACCAACTCACTGTCGTGAAACTTGATAAGGGAAAAAGCCAGTATTTATTCTCCCTTTCTTGTATGAACTGTATTTCAGCATAACCAGAATGCTAATGAGAATTCCATCTAATAAATAATGAATGGTTGAATAATCACCAGTTTGTTACTCCAATGAAATAATACAAAAAGGACAACACTCATCAATAGATGCTAAAATTAAGGTGAAATGTTGATGGGGAACTTTTTAATAGACGGATTAGGCTGGCACCACCTGGACCCACTGATTAATCTTACTAAGTCTGGGACAACCAGACATTATGTAGGTCTGGGTGTGATGTGACAGAAAATACGCAACATCACCTTCTTGCCTAAAAATTCTTGCCTGAAAATTAAATCTGCATTTAATAAAAGCTCTAGATTTAATATCAGGTATAGAGAAGTGGTTAGCTAAATTCAGAATGTGGGACATTCTACAAGACAAATGTCATTTACCAGTGGCATTTTAAAAGGGGTGGAGGAAACTACCACCAAATCAGAGACTTAAGAGACACATAACCAAATGCAATGTGTGGACCTTGTCTGGATCCTGATTTGAAGAAAACCACCATAAAAAAGGCATTTTTGAGACACCTGAAATTTTAATATATACTCAGTCACTAGATGTTAGGATTGCTGTTAATTTTAATGAAGTGTGAATGTGCTTAAAAGAAAATAATCATCGATGCATGCTGCAATACTTATACATTCCATTTTTATGCACTTTAAAGGATAGCAAACTTTAACAACTGATAAATCTAGATGATGAGCATAGAGGTGTTCATTATTAATAGTCTCTCCTTTTCTGTATGTTTAAAAATTGTCATAATAAAAATTAACAAGAAAAGGGGAAAGTAATCATCAGGTTTTTAGAAGTACCTAAGTACCTTTCAAGGTATTTGTTCCATGTAAACCTAAAAAAGGCAGTTAAAGCAGAGAATTTACACTGGCCAATCTTTTGATTTGAGCTAAGTATTACAAATCCATACTTAAAATTAGTAAGTATTGAGGGACTGGAGTTTGTTTTTCTTAAGTAAACCACAGACATAACGTATCATGTATAATTTTTAGTTTGTTTCTTTAAAGTGGACCTGGAACTTAGATACAAGTCACAGAATCTGAACTGAGAGTCCTAGATTTATTATTATTATTTTTTTTGCAATTCTCTATCATTTACAATGATCTTGAAAGCAACTGACTTGACAGTAACTTTTTTTAGATCTTCATCTTTCCCCAGCTTTCCTCGTAAGTAACTTTTCATACTTGTAGTTCATTGGTTTATGTAATAGTTAACATAAAATTAATTACAGCAATGACTGCAATTGGCATAAACAGATTTAGGAATAAACAGTTGAGGTAAACATATAACTTACTTCTCAGGATACTAGGGGAAGCCCAGCAGTGAGCCTTCTAGTCAGTTGCTTTAATCTGGTTAGCCAATCCAGTTGGAAGAGGGGTACAAGAATGGGTAAAAACAGCTGCTATTATAAGTAAACATCCATCTTTTAAAAATCACTCAGATGCAGGGCACACACACAACCTAGGCCACCCCAACACTGTGGGGCCTGGAGCAAGGGTACAAATGGAGGCCAGCCCTGAAATATCTTGTGTCTAAATAGGTAAGAATTAACTAGATTAGCTGGTTCTTCCCCCAAGCCCCTAAGTCTCTCTTTTTACTTCTAGCTTCAGCTTGTCAGAAGGGTCCTGGTATGCATGTATGTGGACTCCCCAGTATGCATTACCAAGTTTCACCCACACTAGTCACAAACTCACGCCCCTTAAGTACAAGTGTATATACACCTGTAGAACATTCTGTCTTCAGGATGGACTTGGGAAAGAGGCCCACGTATTCTGGAAGCAAGCTTTGAAGCTGGTTTGGCAGGGAATCCTGGGCAGAGGAATGCAGACTCCAAGTGGGTGCAATCCCTTGGTTCCCTCACTTTTTCATTCCATAGAGGAACAGCCAGAGTGAGGATCAGAGCAGGGACCCCTCTTGCCCAGGTCTAAGTGCATGTACATACCCATGGTATCATATCATATATACTACTGGACTTGCTTTTTCATTTCGTATCATAAATACTCTTCCATTAATAGCATATTCTCTAACAGCTTTGTAAAGTTACTTGGAAACACCACAATCTAATCCCAGAGACCTTCTGCAAAAGGAGCATAAACATACTACTAGTACCGTGCAGTGTAAATATAGAGTTTAGTAAGGGAAACACTTGGACAGAAAAGCAGTGCACACACAATTTCCTGAGCTCTTATCCCACAGAAATCCAGCTAGCATAGCAGGACTCCATACCAAGGGGAGGGCTCTAATTGAAGAAGCCACTTCCCATAATGGCCTACATATTTCTAACATTTATGGGGGGGGGGGCAGAATATACTTAAATACACAACAATGGTAGCTTGCTATTGCAGCAAATTAGAAAAGGGGCACCTTTGGAATTCTGGTAGCCCATTCTTCAGTTAACAGGTTGCTTGTATTCTGCCATCGTAGTGCTGCAATTAGCACTGGCTTATTTGTGAGTATATATGTGAGAGAAATACCTAGAGATAAAATTAAATTTTCAAAGGTAAGTGTATTTATTTAAACTCCTGCTATTGCTAAATTGTTCTCCAGGAATGTTGCAGCAATTCACACTCCATCTTCTGTATGAGGCTACTGGTTTCTCAGTATCTTTGTTACACTCCTCTCCATACGACTCTCATTTCCCTTCATTCTTCTCTTGATGAAAATGGTCTTAGTTACAGGAGCTCCAGCTTCACCTAGTCACTGATTGGTTTTCTCCTCCTAAACTGATTTCAAGTTAGGATACAAATTCTAAGGCGGCTTAGGTTCTAGTTTTTACTCTTAGCTACCATCTACCAAAATGTAATCTGAGATGTGACACACTCCAAAGTTCCTATAGTTACATGTTTCAACTTCCATCAATAGCTGCACTGTACAAACAGCAGCTATATAGAACTTCCCATGACTGCATGAAATTCTGTTGAACAGCGCTGCTCTAAAGTAGTGCCCCTTTTGGGGCAAAGGGACTATGACTTTTCCATCTTGTCATCCTCAAAAGCACATTGTATATATTTAATGAGAACTGATAAAATGCAAGCACTGAAGCAAAAGATAGGAGAAAAAGAAGTTTAATTTTTAGATGAGATATTCCAGGTGCTTTCATAAGAATTTAACTTGGTCATTCTACACAGAGCATACAATCATTTCAACATACAAGTTACTCCACTTTGAAAACACTATTTTAAAGTTAAAAACCATTTAAAAGGCTTTGTCTCGTTTCCAAGGAAGTGAGGCAATATGCGTATTAAAACATTAGTTTGCAGCACTGAGTATATTATAAGTAGTTTGTGTTTTTCATCCATAACTTAAAGTTTTAACCTGAGGAATTAGAATTTTTATTATCAGAACTGCATAGCAAAACCACATCGAAATGATAACATATCAGATAGCCTATATATAAAAATAACCTGTAAACCATTTAATAAGTCCAATTTAAAGCAAAACAAAATTTTTTAGAACAGATACTAAATGATATCCAGGTTAACAAGGTTATGAAATGCTTCTTCGTATTTTTTTAAAAATGAGAATGCAACAAAAGTCTACTGTTAAATGGGCACATACACCTTAGATCATTTATCCAATGACAACAAACTATTTGGTTGTTTGGAAAGAATTATTTAGGCCAAATTCAGTCTTTGCACGTGGCACTGAAGAGTCATAAATTGAAAGTGCAAATGCCTGGATGGAAACACAGCTTGGATCATTTATTTATGCTACTGCTCTACAATGACACACTAATGCTATGGGAGAAACTTACAGTTTTAGAAAGTCTTGATAGAGAGTGACAGGCCTGATGAGAAAATACAAAAAGGCTACATCATGCATAAACTAAAAAATGTTAAAGGGCATTTTAATCAGGGTTTTGTTTCTGTTTTTAAAAATCCCATTGAAGTCCTGATGATACCATTTCAAGCACATGCTTTATCAAAGTAAATGGCATCTAGAAGTATCCAAACACTTAAGTCCACTATTAACTGAAAATAATCCCTTGCGTTTACATGGCATTTTACAGTTGCCTGAAGCGATTTCATACACTCCATTTCATCTTATTCCTCACGACAGCCCTGTGAGGTAGGCTGAGGACGTTACAATTGTTTTATATAAGGCAATGGAGGCCCAAAGATGAGAAATGGTTTATGTAGGTCACAGACCTAGTGTATGGTAGGGCTAAAGTGATTAATTTTAAATACTTTAAAAAAATGAAGCCAAATCTTTTTATATCATATCCAGAAATTTTAAAGACTACTGATTTTTAATATAAGTTATTCTAAAACTTTAGCTATTATATATCTTATAGTATGAATTAGTTATGAATTTGATTTTAAAGAGTCTCCCTTAAATGATAAACTAGACTCAGTGCTTTGGTACCTTAGAGATATTGGAAATATTTTTTTTAAATGCATTCTCATAACCCTTGGGCTCTCCAAAAAGTTCAATACTAACAGAAATACCTTTTACCAACCACTTACATTTTGACTTTTTAAAAAATTGGTCCAAGCTCCAAGCCAAAGCAAACACATTCACCTACCTTCTGCCCTACATACTGTGAAATTTCTATGTCAATTCCAAAGGAACAACTTGTACGGAATGGGTACCATTAAGAAAATATATCAGTTTAAACTAACATAGCTCGAATAGTTATAAATCAAGTCATTACCTTATATTGACGCAGAAATAGCAAATACTGTTTTAATTTAATAATTGCGTAGTCTGAGGAGAAAGTACTATGGCAATCTCTGGTATTTATAAGCCAATACTAACCTTTATATGGTATGTCCAAAATATCTTTTCAACAAAAACAAAACATACTAAATAATCCATTTAACTCCAAATTACTCAAAAAGCTTAAAGTATTTACATTAATCAAATATTCCAAGTAACGAAGCTATCATAGGTGACATATCAAGATCACAAATATTGGCATAATGTGAATACTGTAAGATACAAACAAAATTAAAACTACACTGAACATGAGGTATGCTTTCTGTGATGATTAAAGGAACATTCATGACCTCTTATAATGCTCCAGTACTGGCATTATGAAATGTATATTTTGGTTAAAAATAATAAATAACTTTATAGTTACTTGGATGTTGAGTAAATTTATGCTGACCATATACTTTCCTAAAAGAAGATATCCAGTGTAAAAGTAAAATCAAGGAAGAAACTTTTCCAGACCCATTTTATGTGACTATATAAAAGTGAACCATATTATGTGCAATATGCTCATAAAACGTGAATTTTTTTACAAACTATAACAAATTTACTTTTAAAATTTTCTGATTTAACAAAACATTGTTTTTACGATGCAAACTTTGTCATCACACCACCCAAAAGTAGCAAAACTATATGCACAGTAATTCAAACTTCATTAATTCTGGAAATCTGAATACAAAGTATGACTGCCACATCACACTTAAAATATTTGTGGTATAACTTAGCCAAAAAATGAACACTGATCAACAAATACAGTAAACCCTTGGTTTTGCAGACCTCGACTTAACGGACTTTGGATTTAACGGACAAAATTTCTGGTCCATATGTCGTATGTGAAAATTAACATCCTTTCAATTTTAAAATGCTTTTAACAAAATTTGCTTATAATTAAATTAACAGTTATTTTTTATTCATTCACTGTTATTTTTAACAAATTTTAGCAAATAGGCCATATGTTGGAAAAAACACTGTAGTAATTTCACTGACAAAAATAAATATTACATGTCTACAACTATAGTCTACATACTTAAATCCAAGTCACCACGTGTAAAAAATATTCAGCGAATGATTAGCACATAATCACACTGCATCTTGAGTGGTAACTGGTTCTGTTGTCAGGTGGCATGACTTTCTGCAGCAGTTTTAACTCATGCTGGCGATGTTCCCACTGGCGCTAACCACACCCCATCTGTGTGCATTCGTTTACTCCCAGTGAATCCCAGTGACTGGTGAATGCACACATTTACTAGACCTATTCAGTATAAATTTAAAATTACAGTAATACATATAGAAAACTTTTCTGTGAAATTAAACTTTTCATACATACTTAATTTTAATTACACAAACATGTCTACATAAGTAAGAACACGTAAACTAATGTAAATTTTTTAACGTACGCATTTGGAAAACCTACTTTATTATGTAACAGACTCTTGGCCTTAATGTACACACCCTCGCCAGAATTAGTCTGTTACATCAACGTTTTACTGTACAAGCTTTTGAAAAAGAATTATTATGATGATTTGAAAATATAGCCTTTAGTTTTTTTCAGCCTGGAATCACATATTTTATAGTAAGAAGTCTACACTTTCCTCTTCTAAAATTAATACTCTCTGAAATAATCACTTTCCATAATATCCTTTTCCAACTTTAACCTACATTTCCAAAAGAAACAATTAAAAAATATAAATAGCTATAACTTTATGGAAAAAGTATATAGAAGAAAACTAATCATTCTAGCTAAGTCATGAGATAGAGTATCTTAGCCTAAATAAAAGATTTCATGACAAATTCTTTACTTTTATCATTTGTACCAGCAAGGATCAGTGACAAAAATTATGTGATATTGTTCATGCTTTAATTTCACAAATGAGTAAATAAAACTAAGCCAATTTGTCTATTTAGTTGATAACATGAGAAAAACTGTTTATAGAACAAAGTAGGCCAAGTCTATCTAGCTGTACAGCAGCAGTTCACGGTTTGTCAAAATGGTACACGTGCCATGAATTAAACCCACGTACACACAGGCATGCCTCTAATACTTTCCATTTGTTCACCTACACTGAGAACATTCAAAGAATCACAGCAGATTAAATTTCTATGTGCAGTTATTAAATGGTTGGTTTGGTATATACATATTTACTAAAAATTAAAGACGTGTCACATGGTCAGCCCAAAGAATCAAAATGAACTATAAAAAAATTCTTTTTCTAAAGTGCTTAAGGCAATTCCTTCATTTCTTTATCCAGTTTACTAAAACTGGTTTGGGATTCAACTGTTAAAAGAGAAATACAATACTAAAAGCATGTTTTTATAAAACATAATTTTTTTAGACCTGTGATACATCCATTACTGTCAACCTCTCATGCATTTCTTTTACAGAAAGCAATCATGTTTGACCTGTCAAAACAGAGTAAATAAACCAATAAAGAATGTTTGAAAGGGTATACCAACTTTATACAATGTATTAAATTGAGCAAAAGAGCTCAATATTTTTTAATTTAAATGCTGATGACAATGTTTTATATATGGTCAAGTTGAAACCTTAAATTAACTTGAGACTATTTAATTAGGCACTACAGTTGATTATTTTCTAGTTCGAAAATGAAGGTGGCAGATTTTTTCCAGTTTAACTTAACACAAATAAACTTAAAACAACTAAACTAAAACCCCACACACTTTGCTCTTTACTTTTAAAGACCTTTAAGAAGCACAGTAAGAGATAAACCTCAGATTCTTATTTTGAAGTAATAATATTACTTCAAAAGAATTTTTCAAGAAAATTTCATATGAAGGGTTTCAAATGATAAATGAGCACAGGAAATAATCATATGCACTCCACCAGCCCCTGATTAATATCTCCTTTCCCCATGCCCCTGCAATAGAAGCCCTTCACCAGTATAACATAATGGTCTCTGGCTTAAATATTAGTTGACACTACATGGGGCATGGAGTATGGAGTAAAAAAGAGCATCCTTAGAGGAAGAAGGCACTGAATTAAAGAGAAGACACGATCATCATATAAGACACAATAGTAAAAAATTTTATAGAAGAATTTCTGGCTTTTTCTGTGTATTTTTGCTAAAATATACATGTATAACAGTTCACATAAAGCAGCTCCACCACTAAATTACTGCTTTCAGGTTTGACTCTACAGAAGAGAATTATAACTTCCTGTTTCCTTAGGTCCTTAGATAACCCTGCTATAGGGAAGAGAACATCCAAAACTTTCTATCAAAATTATCTTGAGGAACTAAAAAGAAAATTATATTTGTTTGGAGAATCAAAAGAATACCTATTAACATATTTCATTCTCTAAACTCCCTTACAGTCTTTATAATTATAAATATGTCATCAGGCAATGGTGCAGATATGAATTCCTCTGGAAAAATAATACCCAGTTCAAATAAAATTCCTCATTTAGATTTGTTTTAAAAGGAGCAAAACATCCTATAGGCAAGCAGTAAACTCTAAGAAAGAATAAGCTATTCCTATTCCACAGGCCTTTCTGTAGATAGCAACTGTAATGTAAGCAGCATCAGTCACTTGGAAGAAGGCTGTCATTGTACAACATTTTAAATGAGAATGAAAGTTAAAATGAGAGAAAGTAAAAGTTTCAAAAATTAAAGAATATAAATAGTTCAGATCTCTTTAAAACACTCAAGGAAGTCTTAAATACTACTGGAATTATAACTTCCAGTTTGGCTTAAAGGACTTGTGGTACAAATTCAATCGACTTTTAAAAAACAGATATGTTCTCAATAACCATGGGTTTTATAGTTAACACATTTTCCCTAACTTTGGGAAAGATTATTCTATGTTGATTTTTTTGAAGAAAACACCCCTTTAGAAAGCAAATGAATGAAGCAAAAAGACTAAGAGAAAATAACCTCTAAGTAGTTATGACTGAAAAACTTATATGCCAAATAAGTCAGAGATACATGTTTTCCCCCAAAAAATGCTTGTTTAAACCATTCCATATCTTATCAAAAGCATATATAAATGACTTCAGCAAAGAATAGTTTTAGGCACCTCCCTTTAGAGCCTATCTTTTTTAGGTAAAACTTGAGTAGTGTAGGTTTTTCCACCTTCTATATAACTTTAATAAACTTCCATTCCTACTAAAAATGTTAAAAATCAGTATAAGTATTACCAGTTATTACCAAATCCAAGTGGGAATTTTACCAAAGATAACTACTAAAGGTAGTGTTAAAATAGACAACAAAATAAAAAAATATAAAGCTTTTAAAAATCTTACCCATCATCCAAAACAATGGAATGAAAAGAAGTCTAATTAAACAGGGCAACATACATAGACTATCCTTTTGCCACTGTTAGTGCAGCAGGTAAAAAACTGAAATTTGGGTGACTTTAAGCTATTATGTCTAGAAACTCTTACTATCCACTCTTTATTTTGAGTTATAACCACAAGAAAAATACCATGACATTTAGAAAAGAGAAAATGATATATAATCTGGTCAATAAAACAAAAGATAATTTAGCAAAACACATTTATAAAAGGGGAAAATCTGTCTAGAATCCCCAACCAATTATTTCAATTTTTGGGAAACCTCAGAGGACTGTATATTTTTAAAAGCTTCAGTATAAAAATGAAATAATATTTAGTGATAAGTGAAAAAAAGAAAGTAAAGGAGGCAAGATTTAAATGCTTTTTCTTCAGGCCCTAGGGCTACCATATGTAACTAAACATATTAGAAGAGCCAAAGTAATCCAAGAAACACAAAAATGAGTTTCTATGTAGCTGTTTAAACACTGCCTTTTCCCCCATTTGCTCTTCAAAATATGAGTTTCTTGCTCAGTCACTGCTTGCTTCTGTGATATTGCACGGTAGGTTCCTGTGAATACTTGGTACTAGATGCTTAAGTGCTAACTGATTCCAGGCCTTAAAGCAGAACATAGCAAACCTCATTTCCACCACTCGTAAGTTTCTATGATTAGGCCACCCAATCAAAAGGAGGGGTCAAACATAGTCTGAGTAGGCATTACTGGGTAACAATGTTTAGGCTGCTAGCTGAACCAGTCATTCCATTTTCACTTTTCTGAAGTGTTCTCACAGCACTTGGAACCTGCATCCCAGTACTTAAAGAAAGTCCACCACACCAAACCTAAGAAAAGACAAAAACAAAGCTTCAGTCAGACTTCAAATCACATTAGAATTTAAGTGAACCTTAACTTTGCACCTGAAAGGCAAAATGCCACATAGGTGAACATCAACAAGTTCCAAACAGATAACCTTCATCTCTGAACTGAAGGGAAGTGGAAAGGCTAACTCAAGGTCTTTTAGAACCACAGAGGCCAGAGGGAGTCTTTGTGGCAGCAGAATCCACTGGAAATGCACACAAGGCAGGGACCTGAGGGGTGCAGAAATTTAGAGGTTAAACTAGATTAACCTAGGCAAAAGAGATTGGCTATCATTACTGATGCTAACTTTCACAACCAAGAGAAGTGCCCAAAGAGCAACTTCCTTATCCCAGTACTGCTCTGGATTTTGATGACGTGTGCTCTGAGACGATAGCAATCTAACACCCTTCTGTTTACAGAGTAAAATCCATTAGTTTCTTCCCTAACGTAACAGTAAGACTTCTTTTATAATTCTGTAAGGACTTCTGAGAAAAATGCAAACAGCAATATCCAAATACACTTGCCATATTCTATTAATTACCAGAAATGTGAATGAGTTCATGAAAGATAAAACTGCTTTGCTTGTGAAGAGAGAGCAGCTAATGTTTATAGTGCCTTTATTCAGAATTGTCAAAAACTGGAAAGAACCAAATGTCCTTTAACTGATGAATAGATGAAAAACCTGTGGTACATACATATATGGAGCACTACTCAGCAATAAAAAAGATGGGGCTACTAACAAACACAGATGAATTTCAAATGTGCATGGATGGACCTAGAGAGTATTATGCTAAGCGAAGTAAGCCAGTCAGAGAAAGACAAGTACCATATGATCTAACTTATATGTGGGATCTAATGCACAAAATAAACTGATGAACAAAATAGAAACAGAGGCATGGACACATGGAACAGACTGACGGATCTCAGAGGGGAGGGGAGGACTGGATAAAAGAAGATGAAACGATTAGCCAAAGAACATATCAATAAATGGTCCTGAAATAAGTGGATATCCATATGGAATTAAAGATTGTATCATGATCCCCAACTTCATACCAAACATATCGATTCTACATTGTACTTGCAATGTAAATGCAGTCTATATCTAAACGTACAAGGAAAAGTTTTTGGAAGGGAACACAAGAATATTTTCATAATCTTGGGGTAAATAAAGATTTCTTAAACAGAACAGAAAAAGTGCTAACCACTAATGAATAAATTGATAAATTGAGCAACACTAAAATTAACAACTTTTGTTCATCAAAAGACACCAACATAAGAAGGAAAAGGAAAGCCAGAATGGAGAAGATATTTGCAATACATATATCTGGAAAAGGACTCAGACTATATAAAGAACTCCAATCAATCAATAAAAAATAGGAGGAAAACCCAATGGAAATACAGGAAAAGACTTGAACAACCATTTCACAAATGAGTATACTCAACCAATAAACATAAAAAGGTGTTCAACAGCACTAGTCACCAAGGAAATGCAAATGAAAAGCACAATGTAACATATCTAAGGACTAGAAAGACTAAAATAAAAAAGAATAATACCAAGGGTTATTAAAGATATGGGGGAATTCAAACTCTCAAATCCTGCTGGTGGTAAATTAGTATAACCAACGACTTTGGAAAACTCTACTATAGTTGATCACATACCATATGATCTAACATCCCCAATCCTAGTTATATATCCAATAAACAATATATGCATTACCAAAAGACATGAACTAGAACATTCACAGCAGTTCTATTTATAAATGTCCCCAAAGGAAAACTACCCAGGTATCCAACTAAATTAGAATGAATAAATTATGACAGTCATATAATGGAAAACTAGATGAGAATGAGCGAACTGCCACCACACAAAATAACAGGGATAAACCTCATAAACATAATGTTGATCCAAAAGATACTGTATGATTCCATTTATACAAAATTGAAAAGGAGGCAAAATGAGTATATGGTATTAAAATTCAAGATAGTAACCTCTGTGGAAGACAGCCAGTAGGGACTGGAAATGGGCAAAAGGGGCTTATGAGATTCTGGTAACATTCCATTTCTTGATCTAGATGCTGGTTACAAAAGTGAGTGCAATCAATCCTATGAAGATTCATCAAACTGCATGCTTATGATTTGCATACTTTTATATATTATTATTTACTTCAACAAAATCCAACAAAAATATACAGACAATCACAATCACAGATTTAAGAGAGGTGGATTGGTGAAAAGGAGGGGAATATAAAAAAATAAGATATTCTGCTTTCCTAATATGCAGCAGAGGATGTTTTCCTTAAAGGTGCCAAACCAAATAAATTAGGTACTAACCATGAAACCAGGTAGTACTGGCTGAGTAAATTTTGTCTTAAAGGAATACAACAACTGTTTTGAGTTTGCATCATAGAAAGAAAGTTGACCTAAAAGGAAGGAAAAAAAGCCTTATTTATTATACAAAATATTATTAACATCTAATTAAGGCTAACATAAAGCATGCGTAAAAGTAGTAACTAAATGAGTATTTTAACATTAAATTTTTTTGTTACAAACTATAATGACTGGACTTAATTTCTTACTGGAAAATCAATAGAAAACATGCTTAAGAAAAAGCCAAAATCCATTTCTCTTTCCCTGGTTTTCAAGATCTCCAGAGCGCTTCCTTAATCTGGCAGTATTCTACTTATTCAACTGTAAACTATTTCTTTATTTTATCATTATTTAAAAAATGGTTCCCCAGTAAAAACCAAGGTGATTTCTTCCTCATTTTTGCCATAACCAGTCTCTACCCAAATCCTATCACCATTCAAAGTTTACTCTATTAAACTTTGTCTTCTAACTACTTGAAGCCACATTCATACTTCAGTCTCTGAAATCATAGTATAGTTATCACAGCGTCAGCTTTGTTAATTCTTAAAATCCTTGCACAGTCTATCTTTCACCTATGATCATGCAAATAAGATAACTGTCTTTTTGACAACCTAACTGTCCAACCCAATGGCCTCCTTACAACTCTTACTTCTTCAAATTCTTCTCCCATGACTATTCTCTTGGTTTACAGCCTAACCTGAGGATATCTTGTGTTTCCCCTTATTCTCAATGTCGATGCTTGTCCAGGTTCTCCTTTCTCTCTACAAGGCTTCCTTAATAAATCCACTGCCACCAGAGAAAAAATGAAACTAACATTTATCCTACTATTAAAACACTGGGTGCTTTCCCTCAAAATATTAAGCAACCTAACATGGTAGCAAAGTTAGTAAATAGCAAAGCAATAATGTTTACTTGTTCTGTGCAATCTTCAGTAGCCACTCTGTGATGCCGTCTTTAATGATTAGCTTCAGTTCTACTTCTCTTCTGAGTGCTAGCACTGAATTCCTAAATATTTGCCAGACATGCCAGATGGTTGTCCTGCTGACATCTCACCTTTCCCCAGGACTCTCTCTGTTTCCTATTCTATTGATGACACTATTATCCTCTTGATCATACTGGCTGGAACCTCAGAGTCATCTTCAACTCTTCTTTGTCTCACTCTCCAATCCATTTTTAGTTATCAAGTCCTATGAATTCTACCTTCACACTATCAAAACACACTATCAAATCCATTCTCCTTTTATTATTATTATTTATTATTTTTTAATTCTCCCCCAAGGGTATGTTGTTGTTTTTAAATTGATTTTTTTGAGAGAGGGGGGGGGAGGAGGGAGGAGGAGAGTGAAAGAGAAAGAAAGGGGGGGGCATCGATAGGTTATTGATAGGTTGCCTCCCATACATGCCCCAACCAGGGATTGAACCACAACTTAGGTGTGTGCCCTGACAGGGAACTGAACCCCGAAACCTTTCTGGTGTACGGGACAATGCTCCAACAAACTGAGTCACAGACCAAGGTAGCAAATCTTCTTGATTCACTCACTGCTCAGACCCTTGTTCCTACTAATCACTCAGCAAACACTTATTAAGGGCTTACTATGTACAAAGCACTTTCCAGGCAATAAGAATATAATACTTAACAAAATAGACATGGTCCTGCCTCCATTGATTAAAGGCTGCCTCCTGAACACTTTTACCCAATCTATGTTGCAATCTCTTCCACATTTAACCATTTATTCTCTAGTATTTCCAAAGTTAAATTATCATCATATGACTATAGTTTTCTAAAATGTGCAGAAGCCCCCCTCTCTCAACTTCTACAAGAGACTACTCTAGTATTATTTTTCAAGGCCCTCAAAATCTGATCCCATCCTACATTACAACTCCCTCCTGCACCCTATGCTCTAGGCCGACAATTATACTTCCCACCACTATCTTTGAGGAACCACAGTGTATGGGAAAGAAAGCAAAAGATGATAAGCAAATGCTATCTTGGTAGTTGAAAAAGGGGAAAAAGAAAAAGTGTGCCAATAAATTTACTGTTTATCCTGAGGAAAATTACTTATCTGATTCTAAGTCAATAAATAAAAAAGATGCAGCAAAACTGACAGGTCATCCCTAAAAATAAATCAAGCCAATATGAACATTTTTTCTTTTTTTTAAGTAACTAGAGCGATAGCTCATGAATTATTTACTCAATGTTGCTTAAAATGGTAAAATGGGGTTTTAAGGTGTCAACTTGGAGAGAAGCATCTAGGGAATTACTCTTACTCCTTAGTTCAACAGTATGTCATCTTCAGAATCTTCATAAATATTTAAATGACAGTAGAGAAGATACTTATCAAATACCTAATTCAAAGAGCTTCAAGAAATTTTTCAAAAGATAAATATCAAATTAATTTTAGGTGATTTTAACAAGAAGAAAAGTTTGGCCAAATCTATTAAGATGAAACTTAAGGACAAATATAATCTCCTTCATTTGATTTATAAACAACAAAAAACCCAAACTGCCTAATATAAGAGGAAAAAGACAATTTGACAGAACTCAGACTGGTGGCTACAAAATAGTCATAGGGATATGAAGTGTCCCATAGGGCCCTGGCCAGTGTGACTCAGTTGGTTGAGCATCGACCTGTGCACTGAGAGGTCATAGGCTTGACTCCCAGTCAGGGGCACATGCCCAGGTTGTCAGCTTGATCTCCAGTAAGGTGCAGGAGGCAACCAACTGATGTTTCTCTCATCAATGTTTCTACGTCTTTCTCCCTCTCCCACTCTAAAATCAATAAAAACATATTTTTAAAAAATAAAGTTTAGCATAGGAAATATAGTCAATAATATTGTAGCCTGGCCAGCATGGCTAAGTGGTTGAGCATCGACCTATTAATCAGGAGATCACAGTTCAATTCACAGTCAGGGCAAATGCCTGGGTTACCGGCTCGATCCCCAGTAAGGAGCATGCAGGAGGCAGCCGATCAATGACTCTCTCTCATCATTGATGTTTCTTCTCTTCCTCTCTCTGAAATCAATAAAGACATAATAATAATATCATAATAACTGTGTATGGTGCCAGTTGGGTACTGGAAATATTGAGGGGAACACTTTGTAGGGTATGTGATTGGCCACTAAACTGTAACTGGAATTTTTTTTTTTAATTAAAGAAAAAAATAGTGCTAGAAACTGTGCTGCCAAATCACTGCCCTATGATAGTCAGAAGTTGTGTGACCTACTTTGAGAATCAATCTTTAAGAAATATATTGACATAATATACAATCATAGCAATTAGGGTTTGAAAAAAATTAAGAGGAATAGCTAATGGTACAGAGAAAGTATAGTCTGGGGAAAACAGGGCAAAAGAAGCATGTTAATAGTTTTTAAACAAATAAGGATTATGTTGTGAATTAGGGAACATAATTCTGTATTTCCTTGCTGACTGGTCACGAGTATAGTCATGTTTCTGTGTTTGAATGTTGATGACCGGTCACGAGATAAATCGTGTCTACACTTACATTAATTTAAGTAATTTTAAGGTCTGAAAGCAAAGTAGTTTTAAAAGAGCAAAAAAGTAGCCAGCCGCATGGGCGCGTTCTGACTCAAAATAGCCAGTCAGCAAGGAGCAACAGTCTCAGAAATTACTAGGAGACAAAGTAAGTCAATTTAAGTAAAACCTTCTAACCAAGTGCTATCCAATAATGAAAGAGGCTGCCTTCTAAGACAATAAACTTCACATAAGAAAGTTCATCAAGCACAGGAGTGGCAACTACCTATAGAAATAATGTAAAATGAATTTTATACTGGGTGGTAGGTAGATTGGGTAATTCCTAAGGTCTACCCCAACTAGAAAAATCTGACTCCACTCTTTACAGATAATAAAACAAGGTAAGAAGGAATTAAAGTAGACAAAAGAAATTTTAGCTTTAAGACTAAAATTAGCAAAGTCTTTCTTTCAGACTCATTTAGTATATTATAGACAAGTACTTTTGTAGGGCTGCAGGCCAACATTGTACACCCTTCCAGTCAATTCTGGAGCTGAAATTATGCTTGTGATCAAATCCTAGTAGGTCAAAACACCCTTACCACACTATTAATGGAAATTCTCTACAGGTGATTACCAGTGAAAAGTACTGAAACACAAGCAACTATGAGGAAATGAATTATGAGAAAATCGGTAAACTTACCCCCATCAAAATCACAGAAAACACCTATTGTCTCAGGAGCAGTAACATCCAAGGCTTTGACTTTATTATTATGCTTTGCTGCAAACGTGTTTTGTAGCCAGTTGTTGACATGGATACACCAACTAGTGTTTGTCTTTCCTAATTGGTCAAATTTCCCTAAAGTCTTATATGCTACTCCCACACTATAGGATTTACAATCCTTCTGGGCCTTGACCTCCCAATAATGTTGTCCACCTTCAATAGCAGTGTCACCTGCAAAAGACCAGAAAGGTAAATTTGACTCTTACCTCTTCCTTATGAGTCACATAGATTGTACCTATCTCTTGTCCAATAAAATGGCACAAAAAATCTGAATCACGATGTTAATACACAGACACTAATTGCAGAGTATCTGCTATAACTTATATATTACTAATTTTTCTGAATATAAAAAGCTTCAGAACTTATCCTCCCTACTACCCCAAGAGTTATACATATATGTGGAGCACTATGTAAAATGAAGTAAATTTTAAACATATCAATAATAAGACAATTTGAAAACCTGCCAAAGTAATTAGGCTTCAAGAGGGAGAAACTTCGGCAGAGATTTATTCAACACAGAGGCAGTCACTCCAGCTCTGAGTGAGTAGAAAGCCCACCAGTAAGACTGTGATGCCTTTTGCATGAGATAATGAAGAACTGTTATTTTTATCCTACCCAGCACTGTGTATGATTCCCCAGTAAAACGATCTCTGCTGCCTCTTACTGCAGGTGGCCTGGAGCCTACAGATGTCCGTTTTGGGGATGGTGTACCACTTCTATATAAACAGGAACAAAAAGAAAGACAAAGATTCTATGTTGTGAATGTTTCATAAACTAAAATTACAAATCATGAAAGGAAGATGTGAAAAAATTTTTAATTATGTTGTACAAATAGCACCATTCATTTTGTCTGAATTATTACAGAGTTGTCAATGATAAGCACTCACATGTAAGAAGTCACCAACACAAAGCAGGCTGAAAACACCAATATCATGCAGACTGAGCAAGGCTTATACAAAGAACACACAGTTGAACTAAGAAACAATGCCAAAATGAGATCAGATACAAAGGGGAAAAAAAGAACTCAAGAAAGATTATGTATTATAGCTTACATTTATTTCTTGCAGTTAAATTTAAATAGAAGCAAAGACAAAAACAAACTTACTGCAATCAAAACTAAATAACCTTTTTTGTCAGCAGTATGTATTCTGGTTCTAGATCTTTTCTTCTTAAAAAGTGAAACAGCAATTGCCCAAATCCATGCATAGGATACTGTCAAGTATTAAAAAGCATTTCTCCTACTATAATGGACAAGATCCAACCTGACCTCCCTTGTGTCAAATTATATGATACGGTAAAGTGGACAGTATTAGGCCTTTCAATAACTCTCAACTCAAAAATTTCAATCCCAAAGACGCTTAAAATTTAATATTTCAATAATATTGAATCACTGCATTTAAAAAACAAAAAATGTATAACTTACCAGTAGTAAAGAAATAAAGGGAAGGCATGGAGAAAAGAAAAACAGACATAACTACTGAGAATGGCAGTTTAAATTTCAGAGAAAAGTTAAATAAGAACTCTGCCACTACAGCATTCCAGACTTCTGAGCCCAAGTACATTTTTGCAAGAAGTACAACAGCTATTATTGTCCTATGTCAAACATACCTCCCCCACACTCCCCCAATCTCTTTAAAGACACCTTGGCCATTTACCTATCTGAATTAAGGCTCTTTGTTACCTCTACTCTGGATTGTTTTACCAGCTTCCGAATGATCTCTTTGCTACCCAATTCATTTTGTTCACTGTTACCAGATACCCGTAACTCCTACTTTAAAATCTTCCAGTACTTCCTTACTGCCTACAAACAACTAGCTTGGCATTTCAAGTTCTTGATTTGGTCCCAATCTGCTTTTCTAGCCTTCTCACCCCTAGAAAGCACTATCCAGTTAAATGTAGCACAGCTGAAGTATTCCTTAAACTGAGACAATCTGCTTCCATGCCTTTCCTCTTGCTCCCAAACTGCAAGCCATACTTCTACTTCCTTGAGAACCAGTTTAAATACCATCGCATTCATGAAGGTCTCCAAGATCGTACAAAGTTAAATAACTCTTTGAGGAGTCCAGCTCCAGGCCAAAATCCTATATGTGCTCTTTTAAGCCCAACCATAGGCAATTATAAAGGCTTTTATTGGAAGGCCTGGGGGGAAGGGCTGCCTTCCCCACACCAGACTTGGTGCACAGCCAGTTCACTGCAGTTTCTGAGGGAAGTTGCAATCCCCTGCCCCTACCCCATGCTCATATGCATATCTGCATTCCTGGCTTAGGCACCTCTATTCAGAGATCCCCTTATAGGTGGGGGCCCTCAACTGAGACCCTTTCCACTGCCTCTGCAGGACCTCCAAGAAGGAGGCAGGGATGGGGCTGTAATGTAAAGACACTTTCCTCCCCTCTGTCTGAATACTCTTCTATTTTGAACATTTCCTGTTCTTCCATCTTCTTGTCCTCAGGTCTATAAACAACAGGATGAGCCTTTTGTTTGGGGCTTTCTCAGTAGTGAGATGATATCCACCATCTGTGATCTACTGATTTACCTGACCCTCACCTCATTCTGCTGGGAAAAATGGGACATGGGGAGAGCTAGCACCCTTTCCTTTGTGGCCTCTTGTTTATATTATCACAGCGAATAAAAGGCTTGATTGTTACTTTCAGCTTGGCTCAGTGTCCTAATTGACCATTTCAACACTTGGCAGCTCAAGAAATCTTTCTTCCCCTAAACTCCTTTATTCACACTTACCATTACACATACTCTCTGCCTGTATTATTGTTATTTGTAAATAGATATATCTCTCATCTACATAAGTCAGGGAAAATTTCTTGAATGCAGGGACAGTGTTTCTCTCTATAAACCCCACAATATCTAGCAGACATCCTACAGTGAACAAATATTTATGGGAAGAATAAATGTATATAATATTCCAGAAGTAGCCTACATAGAAAATACCCTTAAAAGGAGGGAGGGGAGAAAGAGAAATAATATGATATGAAATGCTAAATATAAGCAGTCTAAAAATCTGCAAGTGACCAAATGAAACTTTATAGACTCTATTAAATCTAGCAGCATTTTACAATTTATGATATACTAGCTATGAAATCACTTTTGCCAATGAGTGAATAAACTGGAAAAAAGAGAGGAAGAATATATGAAAAGAACACATTCTGGTTTCTGATAAAGATACGTTGGTCTTCAAATTAGCACATTATTACTTATGCAATTTGAATTGATTGATCTTTCTGGCACTGTCCTAATAATTTCACTAATAACCTTTACTTTTTATCCTGATGCTTTCAAAACTGCATGATTATAAAGTACAGAACACCTCACACCTGCCTCATGTCAAATACAAATAAAAGCAAAGCTGTGAAGTTAGATATATTGAATACAGCACAACAAAAAGATGCTAGGTAAGTAAATACAGAGAAAAGTCAGCTAAGGGAAAATCATTCAAGGAAGACTTTAAGCAGAGCTTATTGTTTTGTTATCATATACAATATAATCAAAATATGCAGCACACTTTAATGCTGTAAATCCCAAACATAAGCTAGCAATACAGACAGTCTACAGAGAGCAATATTTTAGCTTATGAAGGCTGCTGCAGTGGCTTCTGCTTATTGGTTAAAGGAAAAAAATTACAGTTATTCAGCCAAGCTAGACATACTAAATCCTAGAACTAAACAAAGATCGTCACCTTGGATGTTTCCTCAGTGAAGTAACATGGGCACTGTCAGATAAAAATAGGCAACTGTTAAGAGTGCTTTAAAACTTAAATTTAACAGCTTATAATAAAATTAGACCAAAAGCCTGATGAGGAAATTCTTTTATTTATTTATTTGCTGATGTAACTCACAGTGATATTAACTTATTTCAGTTTGAGAAAAATTTTCCTCCGTTAAAAAACAAAGAGGACTCATACTTTGAGACTATCTAAATAAGTCTAACCACAACTAAAGGTCCCAAGCCTCTGGTTCATAAGGTTGCTGATGGGGGCAAGGCACTGGGGTTGTGCATGCTGAAAGCTGCCATGCGAGGCAGACTTTCAGGTAAGACTGGTGATCTAAAATTCAGGAACTATATTAGGAACTTCTTTCTAAGCACTTGAAGATGCTCTAGATATAGCTTAAAAGAAATGGAATACTGAAATAAAAATGTGTGAGAAGAGAATTAGGGAAGAAACTAAGGAAAAGTAATGGAAATGTTACTGATGAATTCAAGAATTGACCCACAATATTATATGTTTCACTTTCATGTTACTAACACATCACAAATCAGATATACAGAATATGAATTTCTATATGTTATTGTCAAGTAAGACCCAGTGTACAAGCATTTGTCCAGACAACAGATTTAAAAAACTAGCTTACCTGCCCTTGTTCTCTTTTCCTTTCATTTTATTTTCTTGACCTTTTCCTCCAGTAGGATCCCACTCTACACAGGTATCTTCAACTCTTAGGTTCAAATGGGATGAAGAGTTATCCAAACTGAAGTTAAGTGCTATAAAAAACAGTATTTCAATTTTGTAAAAATGTAGCGTATCTCCACTTTCTGAAGTACAACTATCATCACATTATTTCCTACCCAATTTTTTCAACACTGCACATAAAGAGTAAAGTTCAGCTCTGGGCCAGGTGGCTGAGTTAGCTGGAACAGCATCCTGTACACCAAAGGGTTGCGGGTTCGATTCTTGGTCAGGGCCATACCTAGGTCAAGGGTTCTGTCCCCGCAGATTGGCGCGCGTGTGGGACGCAACAGATCAATGTTTCTTTCTCACATCCAAGCTTCTTTCTCTGTCTCTGTCTCTGTCTCCCCCCACCCCCGCCCATTTCCTCCCTCTCTAAAATCAATAAAACAAAACAAACAAAAAAACACATGTCCTTGGATGAGGATTTAAAATTTAAAAAAAGAAAGAATAAAGTTCGAATTCCCAATCTTAGTATTTAAAGTCCCCAAAGAGAAGGTGGTCATTTACTAATCCCTACTTTACTTCCCATTACTCTTTATATATCTTATACTCCCAGCTAACATGACGGCCTGGCACAGCCACTGCAGTTTCTACTATTCCTCCTGCTGGAACCTCCATCAGTGCACAAGGACCTCAGTTTCCTGCTATTAGAATATCAGCCCACTGCCAGTTGACTGTTACGACTAAACAGGAAGAGGCACTGGTAGAACTGAGGATGAGAAAGTGATGTGATGTCAAAAATTGAGCCTAGCACACATAATTTTCCAGGTGCTCTAACACTTAATAATTTCATATTTAAACTTTCAGTAGTTTTAAATTAAGACAAGCATGGAGAAACAGGCAGGAAGCAAGGGAACTGACAGATGAGAGAGCTAGAGATGCTTTACATGACAAGGAAAGGGGCTCCTCCTTAAATGAAAACAAAACAAAAAACTAAGCTTTTCAAATTATTTGGTATTTGGGGAAACTATCTGTACTAATCACAAGACTTACTCAGGACGGCTAATTTAGGAAATCAGTATAGCCTCTCTTTGGAAATTGAAGGTAAATCATTACAATGTTATGCTGAGTTCCTCCTATAATAAATGCATTTCCTAGAATCTCTGTCTTAAGCAAGGTATCATCTTCTACATAGTTACCAGCAAATCTGCCTCAGTTAGTTATATTTCCCTCCCAAAGCTTAAACTTCTGGTAATTATTCACTGAAGGAATATTCCTTTACAATACCCCATTTCACCTAAGAATCTAGCTAAGGCTTCAGCATGCCTGTAAAGTATGCATCATCAAATAACAAAATATTCACATAGAGAGCCTAATGTTTACCTAGTGAATCAAGAATCCAGTTATCCTCTACCTACTGTTCAATAAAGAGCACTTTAATTTCAACCTCGCATCTGACCCGCTGTTCACTGGGGTCTTTATTTATACAACATTCTAAGTACAAATTTACTAACCCTAACTGCTTCTAGTAATTGTCATTCTATGCAAGTAAGTTAATAGCTTTCAAAATCTGCATGTGAACAGACAGGAACTTACAGAATGAAGAAATATTCAGCTTTTCAGTAAAAATGGAAGAATTCCTTAATAGACAGGTTATTAAAAAGTCAGGATTAAGCAAAATTGAGACACTGCACTACCAAGAATGAACTGCCTTAAGAAAACAGGGTTACCCTCTGTATTGGCTATTAGGTAATCTAATGCATGTGAGGGCATCCACATTTTTGAGAGAAAGAAAACGTGGATCTAACTCAAAGGTGCCATCAATTCTCAATTACTTGTTAAAATCCAAAGGCTGATTTTAAAAAAATTATTTTAAAAATAAATTTAAAAAAAAAGAAAGAAAAAGATCCTCTGATTGTTCTCTAATGTGTCATATGATGGAGAGAAGGGTGGAGTCAATGGTGGCAGGAAAGGTATCATCCCCAAGTCACTTGAGACCAGACTTACCAAATACCACAGCATTCAAACAAAAAGGCATGGCTTTCAATCCCAGGGGTGTAATCTTTTCTCTCTCTTTCTTTTTTAATTTTGGAAGCTATCCCTTTATGGAACCTCAACTGAGGCTAAGGTAACAGGAATAATACTGTATAGTTTTGGTTTTTTTAAAAGACTGGCTTCCACACTGAGGTCTCAAATGTTAGTCCTGTCTCTTATATAAACCCTGTAATACAGCTAGATATTAGTTTCCATATCTTTAAAAGTCTGTGAAAACAAAGTAGCAAAAACTCAGAGTACAGAAATATTTCAAGGGTTCAATGTGTATTGGTGGCTGCTTTCTTGGTATCCTAAGACATTACAGCCATTATCACGTGAGGCCAGGGAGTAAACTGTGATTAATATCATATCATCTACCTTTACAAGGAAGTAAGGAATAATATACTTTTAAAATTCTGGTCATAAGAATTCATGCATCACTTTTGACAATTCCAATGACAGAGAAATAATGCCACATACACTGGGGAGACAGATAACAATGTTGACTATTTTCCACCGTAAGTAGCAAGATATGAAAGTTTGGTAGGCCTCAACTATTTAATCTCCACCTCTCCCTTTCTCTCCAGTTCTGTGCTCATACCCTTATTTCTATTGGTTGGTAAACAAGGGCTGCAGCAAGCCAAGAAAATTAGTAAACAACTGTTCAACATGTCATTTTTTTAAAACCTGGCCTTTTCCTCTGGAGCTCTTGCTCTCATTAATAGCCACTCCAGTGCTATGGGATAACTTTAGAAAATCTGTGACCCATAGCTATTTAAAAGACAGATTTTGTCTGGATCTCCCTGAAGTTCAAAATCACTGTTCATTGGGCCTCAGGGTTGAGTTTCAGTCTACCCACACCCAGGGGGGTCCATCCCCAAGGTGAGAAATGTTTGAAAAAACTAGAATCAACTAGTCTCTCTCTACAAACCCTTAGATTACAAATTTCAGTTTAATATAAATATACAAACATCATTGAGATGTGTGGAATCTGATTCTGGAAGTAAACCCAGTCAATTATCATCTCACAACTGGGGAGATCTCTAGCACTATGACCTTCAAAATGGTAAACATCTGAAAAAGCTGTGTTAAAATATGGGAGTTAAAACTAGGGAGTTTTAACTAAATTCAAATTGCTCTCAGACTTTAGGCACCTAGGTTAATGCCTTCAACAGGAGCTGGCACAGAACTTGGAAACAGATTCTTATTCACACCTTTCCAAGCTAGATCTAGGTATCAAACACAAGTCATTTAACATATTTGAACTTCACTTTCTTCTGCAAAATGGCTATCAATAATATCTATTCTACTGATCTCTCAGAATGGTTTTAATGATCAAATAAAGAACTGTGAGAGTGCTTTGTAAACATTAATAAACTATATAAATGTTAATTTCTACAATAAGATTTCAGGAAACAGAGAGAATGTGAACTAAACTGAAAAGGTACTTCTCCATTACTGAGCCATAATCCATTCCCTAGGAAAACACTGGACACATCTCAATGATGTTCATATATTTATACTAAACTGAAATTTGTAAACTAAGCACCCACCTAAGAATGTAAGACTATCATCTCAGTCTATTTTACCTACCTGAATACCATGATAAAGGAAAAACTAATGAAAAGCACTACTGATGTCCTAATTTCTCCATCTTAAAATTCCTATTGTTGGGAATTCCTGGTGGGGGGAGGAGGGATGCAAACATACATAAAATGCTTCAAGTCATGAAGTCTCAAATACCTTCAGATGTTGTCTTATTTTATGCTGTCTAAATAGTTACTTATCTTACCTTTTGTCTCTAAAGTCACTGGATCAGAATACTCTCCAGCCACAGCTTTGTTACAAGCTCGCACTCTGAAATTCATATACTTTGAATCAAACTTTAAGCCTAAAAAAATGAAAATGGTTATCAGACATAAAAAGTAAAGGAATCTACTCCAAAAATATGAGTATAAACCTTCAAACAGACATCTTTTCCTCTTTGAAACTTTCTCTTTATTCAGGAAGAATATAAATTTATGTTAAAACAATGATAATGCTGAAATAAGAGAAATAATGATTTGCCTATTATTTTCTTCAAAAGAAATAAGTTATGCAGTTTATCAATGAGGTCTTTTAAAACCTAGTGATAAAAAGGTACTGTCAAGCTTCATTAAAAGTAATGTTTCATTCAAGGATAGATACTGAAATTTAAAATAACATATTCAACTTGTGGAAAGTACACACCCTAAGGAATTTTTATATTTATGAACACTGTCTTTTTATGTGAAAAATAAATTTAAAGAGAAAGTCAAGCATAGGGATTAATAGCAAAACTGTGAAATTAGTCATGTCTAGATTAAAACAGTCTAAAAATTACTAGCTAGGGAACTTTCAACATGGCAGAGCCACAGTTTTGTATATAAACAGAAATAATAAAACCAACCTCATAATTGTAAATAGTAAATGAGATGTATTGTGCTGGTTAAATGAAATGCATCGTGTAATACATTTCACCCCTGCTCCTGACAAATGGTGTTAACAATGGTAAAGTTACTAATATTACTGACCATGCATAAGAAGCATTTAACAACTCAGGCAACATTCGGCCATTTCAAATACCCAAAGTCCCCTATATATGGCGATAACCTTTTAAAGACTTTCGTAAGGCCAACAAACAAATTTCTAATACCAAGTCACAGCTCTACTATGAGTACAGTGAAGGTAATCATAAAAGGGTAAAGGCAAAAATATTTGTGGAGAAGGGTATACATCTAGAAAATTGAGGGTTTTTTGTTGCTAGAAACCAAGGTAAAAATTAAATGTTATTCTGAACTACTGTTTCCAGAACTCCCCTTCATGTTTGTTCTATATACATTGTTTTACCAGGTTGTAAATATCCAGAATTAATTTAAATGAAGGTTTTCTTGATATTTTAAGAGAAATTCACCTCTATAATGAATATATATAAAAAGTCACTTGGTTAAAGAAATTTAATAATATTATCTTTTAAAATAACTCAAAATAGCCCAGCCAGGCGTGGCTCAGTGGTTGAGGGTCGACCTAGGATCCAGGCGGTCGGGGTTCGATTCCTGGTCAGGGCACATGTCTGGATTGCCGGCTAGGCAGCAGATCAATGACTCTCTCATCATTGATGTTTCTATCTCTCTCTTTCCTCTCCCTCTCCTTTCCTCTCTCTGAAATCAATAAAGATATATTTAAAAAAAAAAAAAAAAAAACCTCAAAATACTTTTCACAATTATGTTTATTCTCTGAGAAAGATTCATGAAATGCAGTCGTTTTACCTGACAGTGTATATTCAGTACCCTTAATATGATCAATTATCTCCCAGCATCGCTCATCCTTTACGCGTGGAAGTCCATCAAAATTAGTTTTCCTATATTCCAGGATAAAATGGTCAATCTTATTATCTTCTTCTGGCATTCTCCAAGCTACTGTTACAGCATTGTCAGCCACCAAACACTCTACTGGATCTATCTCTGGAGCCTTGGGGACTGAAGACAAAAGAAACAGACTCATTTCTCATTTACTACAGCAGTAACCCAGTATTTATGTCTGCCACTCGAACTAGGGTTTTCCTGCTGCTTTTGAACTAGTCAACTAAGTCAGGCTAAGAGAAGAGACAGTCTATAAATGCAATATATTCTTCAAAGCTCTGCTTAAAATTCATGTTTCAAAGTTTCTTCATAGCTTATTCAAAGTTTATTAAATCCTACTTAGCAAAAAGCAATACAAACATGCTAAGAATCAAGAAACAATAATGACTTGTTGCCCCTCCAGGCCTGGCTCAGCGGTTGAGCATCGACCTAGGATCCAGGAGATCGTGGTTCAATTCCCAGTCGGGGGCATGCAAAAGGCAGCCGATCAATGATGACTCTCTCATCACTGATGTTTCAGCTCTCCCCCTCCCTCTCTCTTTCTCTCTCTGAAATCAACAAAGAGATATTAAAAAAAAAAAAGACTTGTTACTTCTCAGTATGTACTTTTAATCTATTTCAAACAGCTGTAGAATATACATTAAATCGCTACTGAGAAAATAACTTGCTTTGAATATAATTAAAATAATTCAAGATATTTTCTATGTATTTTTTAAATCTCATTTATAAAATAATTGTAATTTCTCAGCACTAAACAAAAATGAACTCCCCAACCTCCAAAATACTTAAGAATTTTAAAATGTTCCTTCAAAGAGTTCTATGACTCATTAAAATAAATTGGGATAAATGAGCCACAATTAACATGTATGAACATTAATCAATTTCCTTTCCATAAGAGATTTTTCCATAGCTCAACATTAACAGATGTTTCATTTACATAACAACGGGCTAATTGGAGAACATGGTCCTCCACTGATACAGATGTGTCTGAAATGTGTGAAACTGTACAGGCATTGTATTTTAAACATTCTGTCACTGAAAAAGTTTTAAAAGTTTTATTCCAAGTATGCAAGGGTGGTTCAACATTTTAAATCAATTAATGTAATCTATCACATCAGAAGAAAAATCATATGATCATCATATCAGCAGACAGAGAAAAAACATTTGACAAAATCCAACCACTCATGACAAAAATTCTCAGCAAACTAGGAATAGAGGGGTCTTACTTGATAAAGAACATCTACAAAAAAACCTAGGGCAGGGATGTCCCCTCTCCCCACTCCTATTCAACAGTATACTGGAAGTTCTAGCTAAATGCAGTAAGACAAGAAAAGGAAGTAAAAGGTACATAGACTAGGAAGGAAGAAATACAACTGTCTTTGTTCCCGATGACGTGATTATCTATAGAGAAAACTCCACAGAATCAATGAAAATAATTACTGAAACGAGCAAACGATTATAGCAAGACTACAAGATACAAGGGATAAACCAGCAGAGTGCAGGGGAATTTTAGGGCAATGAAACTGTTCTGTATGATAATGTTATGGTGGACACATGACATTATACATTTGTCACAATGCACAGAATTGTATAACACAAAGAGTGAACCCTAATGTAAACCATGGGCTTTAGTTAATAATAATAATGTTTCAATATTGGTTCACCAATGACAGTAAGTGCACCATATTAATGCAGGATGTTAAGAGGGGACCTTGCACATGGGGAGGACATGCACTGACAAGTATACTACTCTCTTCCTCTGCACTATGATTCCTTCTCTCATCTATCCTTCTAAAACTTCCAGAACTCCTGAACTATTCCACACAAGTTAACACTTCACTTGTGCTACCCTTACTTGTTCCACTAGTTTCATGACTACTAACCTTGCCTTTCCAATTGTATTCTAAATCCAATTGTATTCTAAATATTCAGAGAATTGTTTCATATCAACATCCTCTATTCAAAACAGCTAACCACTAAAAAATAAAAACCAGTTCTAACAAAGCACCTATTTAAGTAAAACACTTCACTTTCAAGAGACTTCCTGATCCCCCAAATCACCATGTCCAAATNCTGACCAAATATTCAGAGAATTGTTTCATATCAACATCCTCTATTCAAAACAGCTAACCACTAAAAAATAAAAACCAGTTCTAACAAAGCACCTATTTAAGTAAAACACTTCACTTTCAAGAGACTTCCTGATCCCCCAAATCACCATGTCCAAATTGTTTTAGCTATCAACTTAACATTAGTTGATGCTAGCTAAAAAGAGAATACTATTAACCAAAAGGTCTTTAATTGGCTCTTTCAAGCATGTGAACAAATAATTTGGGACTCAGTTTCAAATAGTTTTGGCTACTGAAATATCCTCATACTAATACTCTAATAAACCAATGTTAACATATTATTGCTGGAAATAAAATTCCATCTGAACCAACAACCACCGCAACAAAAATGGTAAAGATAGTAGCTAACATTTATTGAATGTTAACTCTGCGCTTTAGAGATTTCAATTAATTTAATCCCTATAAAAACCCTAGAAGGATAACATCACATTTTAAAGATGAAGAAAATGAGGCAAAGTTAAATAGCTTGTTTGAGGTTACGCAGCAAGTAAGTGGTAGCCAAGATTCAAATCTAAGAAATCTGGGTGCAAGACCCAGTGTTACACTGTGGTGTACTGCTCTGTCAAACTAACAATAAAATATATCCTTTAATGGGATTCTTAAAAATGGAATTTTAACTACCAGTAAAATAATTCTCTAAAAATAAAGACTAGTAAATTTAATTATCCCTTAGCTGAATGAAGAAAAAAATCGAGCTATACTTCTTTAATATTTACATTCCAATGCTCATACAGAAAAATCTTGCAGAAAAAATGTTTTTTATATCTAACTTTACATCTAATATATGCACTTACCTGGCAAAAACTTCAAAGTCTGCAACATCTGTCTTTCCTGAGAAAAATCCACCATTAAATGAGTCATGTTGTCACTGACCTTTGGTTTCAAAGAAAGGCGAAAGGCTGAGGCCATTGTTACTCTACGGCAAACACAAACATACTTTTAAAAATAAAAGAATGGGAAGTGTCATATATTTAATTTATAAAATGTAAAGATAGAAATTATTTCACTCTAGTGAATTCAGAAACTCTAACAAAGATAACAAAACTAAATAGAAATTTGTTTAGTCTTTGAAACTTAACTAAATAAACTGTAAAATGTCTTTAAATTTAAAGACATTTAAGATAACTTTAAAGGATTTTCCTCCAGCCAGTTTTATAAAAATGCATATAAATACAACAAGTATCACAAGAGACAAATCAGCATAAATCATCTGTAACAGACCCAACAGCCATCTAAACCTCTGTACAACTCAATCTTACTGACTTCCTGATGCCAGCCTCACTTTTCATATGCCAAATAATGACCTGTACATACACTCAGATTCAAACATTCTACCTGGGAGTAACAGCTACTCCGTGTATCCTCAAATAAGAGTAGAGGTACACTGACCAAATACTGTACAGCTTGGGAGCTGCTAAGGATAGGCCATGGATGAGAAAAGAGAGATGTGAAATCACTAGTAGCTGTCATTCTGACATGTCAACATCAGCTATATGGAAGGATATAGGAGAAACAACTCTGTGAAACCACATGCCATAAAAATAACAGGAGTTCAATAAATATTTAGTAGATGAATGTGGTATAAAAAACAAAAACAAAAAAAGCAAGAAGCTATACCAGACCTCATTTTATCCACAGTATGGGGAAACTGTTCTGTCAATTAAAACTGGAAAGAAAAGAAATTATCATGCTCTATTAATTTGTCATTTTATCTCAAGTTTCAGTTTTTCATATTATAGTAAATTTCCACATGTATCACAAAGTAATTCCCTTTAGAATCTTTCATCAAAAAACAATACAAAAGTAATATTCATGAATGTTGTCCTCCTAGTACACAATTTGGGAGAGGAAGTAAATAGAGCTGGAAGAACAAAGATAATACAAGGCCTAGTCATTCAGATCTGCCAAATCTACTCTAGAGATCAATGGCATAAAAGATATCAAACTCATTGCTATAGTCAATTATTTTAGGAAGAAAAATGTCTGTTACTGTATTCAGTTTATTTCATTTTAAAACTAAGAAAGTAGTCACTCTATTTAGAAACAAAGTTAACTGATCTGTTTATCAAGAAGAAAGTGCTATACTGAAATACAATTTATAGGGAAAGGAACTCACACTTAATGAACTTCAGGCCTAACAGTGAGTCTTTCTCACATACTACTTTATGCTGCTGGTTCTCAATAATAAAATTTCAGATTTCATCAATAAGAAGTTAGGAACAAAGGCTAAGTCTTACATACTCTGTTCTTTACAGTCCCAAGTATCTTTTGATTCAAAGACTTCTCAAAGAGCTATACTCAGAAGGTACTAAAGTAAATGCCCATAGAATCAATGAATGGGTTTGAACCTACTTACTTGCTTCTAAACCTGATTATTTAAATGCATTCTTTGAACTGTTGAGAAAAAAAATATCTGAAAGTATTTTAGATAATTTAATTCTGAAGCTTTATCTGCAAAACTTGATTTAATCACTAAGACCTCAAAGAAAAAGAATGTTTCCAAAAAAGCAATAGAAAGGTCTATCAAAGCCTAAAAAAACACAAGTGACCTTCATTTTCTAGTCGATGAAAATTTCAGTCTCCATAAATCAAGTCAGATGTACACCAATGCTATAATCTTTCAAAAGACTGGACTTTTTAAACTGAATATATTTAGACAATTGTGGCCCAAAGCCCAAACTAACAATCTAAAATCCATAGATAATTATGTTACGGATCCATGTTGTTACAAATGTTTTAATTCCACCTTTCTTGATTTATTTCTAATAGTAAAGCTGAATACAAGAATCACTCCTCCACTTTATTTTTGCAAAGTTAACTGCAAAACATACAGATGGACACTTTCTTTTTTAAAAAATATATCTTTATTGATCTCAGAGAGAGGAAAAGAGAGGGAGAGAGAGAGACAGAAACAACAGTGATGAGAGAGTCATTGATAGGCTGCCTCCTGCAAGCCCCGGACTGGGGATAGAGCCTGCAACCTGGGCATGTGCCCTGACCGGGAATCGAATCCCGATCGCCTGGATCCTAGGTAGACGCTCAACCGCTGAGCCACACCTGGCCAGGCTAGATGGACACTTTTAATTTCCTTAAAATACCTACCTAATTAGCTTGACTCTTCCTTTCATGACCCCTTTCCTTCAAGAACCAGTAACTCCCACAATATACCTCACAATATACCTCAACTAATCATCTTCCAACATTACTGCGCCCCCAGAAGTATATACCAGTGCCCTGTAAAGATGCAGAGATCGGCTCTACATTGTCTTCTCATTTCTGTTTTCAGTGTTTCCTGTCACTCGCCATTCCTCCTGTACAACTTCTGTCTGACCAAAGGATAAATACTGAGTTCACACAGGTACTTTCACTTTTATATCTTTGCTTGTTCAGGTATGTTACACACTCTTCCTTAAAATACCACTTTAGCCCTCGTGTAAGGGAATAATCCTTTCTTCCCTCGGTGAAAGTAATTATTTATGATTATATGCTTAAATTTTTCTTATATTATAAATGGCAATAATGGAATTTTAGAAGCTTGCTTCCTAGGAGAGCATCTAAAAACTATATCAGAGAAACCTGGACATTATGAAACTAACTATCAAGTTTAAAAAATTAAGCCAAAATCCAGAAATATTCCTTAGGCAGGAAATAAAAATTTTGTGGGAAGCCTAAAAAAATGAATAGGATTTGAAAAACAAAACAAAACAAACGAAAAAGAAACTCTGACGCCTGAGATCCCTTGGATACTGATGAAATCAAGCCAAGAGGTTAGCTTAGAAGAGGAGGAAAGGAAATCAGGCTTCACTGAAGAATACATTCAGCCATGAACACTGATCATAGCATTAAATTCTGACAAACAAATCTGGACAAAGAGAAAGAGGTCAGGGGTAAGGACAGAATTCGGGGAAGCACAGAACCAGAGAGATTCCTAGTAGAACAAGGGAGGCTATTGCAAGGTCTCTCACCAAGTCTTTAGACAGTCCAAGGCCTGATCAGGAAATGCCTTCTAATCCAAATAGTCAGGACCAGAAAAGGAGGTCGTGGAGTAGGTGGCTAATCACAAGAATAATCTAGCCAGGTAGGAAGACGGATCACTCACAGTGAATTCCAGCAGACACAACCCAAGACTACCTTATACAAAAAAAAAAAAAAGCCTCAAACAACCAATACTTTACTTTTCATCTTCAAACTCTCATGATCTCCTTTCTACATTTGGGATTTATAAGAATAATCCATGTCTTTAACCAATCTCTGATATAAAATATTCAAAAAATAAAAATGAATATTTGTGCTAAAAATGCTATGACTGCCATGTGAATCTTGCCTCTAGTAAAATAAACAGGCATGAGAGAAACACAGAATTGAAGTCTTCAGCCAAGATTAACAATAAAGACACTGGTTTTCACACAATCTATAATGAATGGTTTTATAAATTATCGGATGAAGAGTAATTTCATCTAGGATTCAGAGTGGTGATTTGAGGAGCTGTGCCTTTCAGAGAATCCCATATCCTCAAATACAGAAACCTAAGTGATCATCTCACTACAGTCAATGATCAGTGACTAGCCAGGCAGATCAGAGCCATTCCTTCTGTGGCAACCGGATCCAAAATTGCCAGCAGCTCCTTTAGCCTTTCTGTGTACCCATTACAGCAAGTACTCAGTTTCCTTTCCTAATCCTGACTCTATCAATGAGAAAGACCTTTTAAGTCAGAGTCTTTCATAATTAATTTTCTTTAATATTCTCTTCCCAAAAACTAGATAGAAGTGGCATTAGAAAGAGAAAGAGATGGCACCAGGAATAGGATGGAATGAGGATACAAAGGTGTTAAAATTAACAGGAGAGCAGCACAGTAGGAGAGCTGTAGCTCCTGAAGACTATTTAACATGCTGTGACTTCTCAGAAAATAAGACACGCTTATAAAATTTAAGAACAACAAAAAATGCATTCCAGGAATATATATTTTTAATTATTCAAATTGGTTCCCCATCTATTAGCATAGGTAATTAAGAACTGTACTAAAACTAACTACATTATACCAGAAATGAAATTCTTTTGGAAGCACAAAATTGTCCACAACTATGGTTTTATTTTAATATTGTTTATTTCAGAAAAACATACAGAAGACATTTTCTTTTGTACTTGATCATTAGGTATTTTTATTTTAACCAATGAGATTCTAATAAGAAACTGTTCCTGAATTTCATTTCTGACTTCAATATCAACACTTAAATAAAAACATAGGCTTTATTCCATACCTATCCTTGATCTGTCTGGCAGCCTTGGAGCAAATCAGGGAGGAGAGAAAGAAGGCAGTTAGTGCTTTTCATGCAAGTTCAATGGCAGTGACATGCAAGAAAAGTTAGGATATAAACCCTGGAATAGATTAGTTCATATTCACCAAAACATAAATTATAGGAAATATGTACAGTTTGCATCAGCTTGCATAATGTGATGTTAGAAATACAGTAGAAAATCTAGACCCCATATAAATCACCTTACAAGGAGGAAAACTGAACACCACTTCACACTAAAACCAGATGACTACAAACGATTTTTCTTACCTTAAGGTTATCCTAACACGCCTCCTTTCATTCAGCCTGACACTCTCCACTCGAACATCTCTCTCCCCATGGGGCACCCATTTCTATGCATTCTGATGGTTTTCTTACACAGTTCAAATCTGCTCTCCAATTTTTCTTCAGGGATCTTTCACCACTTCATAATGATTGTTCCAAGTTTTCTCTATATGCCTTCACTGGGCAAAGACCTTGTATTCTGAGAGCTTGCCTGCTAACATATAAAACTAGGCTGCAGTTCTACAATCCTTTACCCCCAAAGAGTAAGTTCTAATGGCAAAACGCAGACAAGGAGAAACCAGAGAAATACTTCACACAATGGGGTCTTTCCTCAGATGACTTCACAGAAGCTGCCAATGTAAACATCTACATTAAGTTTTGTGGTGTTTTTTTTGAGAATGCTAGCATAAGTTTAGGAAGGGGACACAGTTATTACTTGGTGACAGACACAGAAAAATAATGAGAAATACAAGTAAAAACTGATGTCCCCTTTACATTTACATACAATATAATATATCCAACAAAAATTTTTCCCCCATACTGACCAGCATAATTAATGATACATCCAACATAGACCATGGCTGTTCTCCTCAACACTCCATCCCCAGTGTCCAGCATAAAGCTTGGCACACAGTACTACTTAACAATTATTAAATGTAACTGAACATTAAATGTTTATGGAACACACACATCCATAAATGAAACAAAGGGGGAAAATTATAGCTTGAGCTATTCTTAAGAAATACTTAGGTTTGTTTTTAAATTGCCTCCGTAACTGAAACATTCATGCTTTGGTTAAAGGTCCTCTCCTCTCCCAGCATTCCTGACTTTGGCCCACAGCAGCAGCTTCTGCCAATACTCTCCCTCCCTCTCCTTATTTGCTCCTCCCAGTGGTAAGAGCCTGACAATCGCTGAACAATATTCCAATGGCTGTGAGTCAGAAGTGGGGAATACACAAAACCCATTCTCCCTTTTCATCTGAGATCAAATGTAGAAGATACTGTTTCCCTTTCGCCTTAGTCTGTACATTTTATTTCATCTAGTCTGACAAGTGGGTTATTGTGGCCAGACTGTGATGAAATGGCTGGTTAGTTATACTGACTTGGAAATTGTCCCACAGACTCAGCTCTTCACAGGTAGAATTCAAATCCTAAATTCAGGGGGTGGGGAAAGATCGGGGTATTGATTTTGGCAAAGGATCCAAGCAGTGTAGTGCACGCCAGCTATCAGCAGAGAACCCATGTTTGGTGGGGTTTTGGCTACTTGTCCAGCCAGAAATAAAGTTAATGATCAGATCTTATTTGTTGGTGATCTTTCCACATATATTTCCTATAAACCAAACTTCTAAGAGTCTAAAAAAAAAAATTAGTGAAAGTATGCTCTAAAATCCTTTTCCAATTGTGCTATTTTTACTTGCTCACTTTCAAACTGTCTAATAGCATAGCTTCATATTCAGTTCTCATGTTGAGGTATAACAATATGATTATTTAAATATCAGTACTTAAAACTTCCTTTTTGAAGATAACAAAGTCTAAAAAGACTCATGGTCTGGATTTTAGCCTATGATATTTTGTTCCCATGAACTTCTCATATTAATCGGATTTAACCACCTTAATATGGGATATTTGCAAAGAGTAAATCTTAGAAAAAGTTTTTCCAAATATCTGACAATATACTGCTAGTCCAACAGTTAATCTTTGAAGTCAGCTTTCCCTATTCTGTCAGTAATTAGGTGTTTGGGGCAAGCCTGTAGTCCATGCAGTTGGCTAGGGAAATGAACTTAGGTTCTGACTTGGAATCAAACCATTATCTGGATACTATCTGGATATGCTCAGAAAATAATTGCAGGCAATTCTCATCTCAGTTAAGCATTTCTCTTGAATAAGAAACTCAGATTTCTGACTAGGAAACACTGAGAAGTCATTTCACCACATCTCCAAATGGTTTAAGCTATTAAGCAGGTACTGCAAAATGCTGGAAGACAAAACAAAACTATAAGGTAAGAAGCCAACTGGCACATTAAGAAAATATATTTAAACCACAATGTGATTTATTTTATCAGAACCTTTCCAATATACAAATAACTGGGAACAAGTTTTAATCAACAAACCTGGAAAGAACAAAAAGGAGAGAGAAAGAGAAAATAGTTGTCTCTGAGAGGAAGGGGAGAGGAAGACTCTGAAAATGTCAATGAAAAGAGAAACCTGGAAAAAACAAACTTTTATCAAAGTTTTTCCAAGCATCAGTCCCTATTTAAATGGAACTGGATCCAAGTTATTTCTGAGTACTTGTGCACACATTTTATAACTTTCCTGTCTTCTTCCTCCCTCTCAGGCTCTCACTATTAATTCCTGTCACTATGACTGTGCCTGTCATTAACAGCACCCTACTCCACTAGAAGGGGGCTCCTGACACTAGGAAACAGAAAGAAAAAAGCTAAAAACTTTAGTACCACGTACATATTAATAGTCAACAGATTCTGAAAAACTATCACAAATAGAGGATATTAACTCTTGCCCATGAACTCTATGATGCTGATTTTGATGACTCAGACATCTTTTGCTTTCTGCCTGTACTTGCTATGTTCCAGATATTTGAGGTTATCACATATATGCCCTCTAAATAGGTGACATAGCTATATTTTTAAAGTACCTTAAAGTATGATATATTTCCCTCATAACTGCTTTATATAGTAAATGTTACCAAATGCAAAGATGAATTTTCTTACAACCCACCTCCAAATTTGAGAATCAGTTTACTGATTCATAGAAAAATGACTTTTGATTAATTTTGCTAAATGGAATTAGTTTTTAAAGTTCATTTTCAAAATGTAGGGATATAAGCCAACAAATGTTACCTTCTCAAGAAAGACTTTTCTACTCTCAAGTTCACAGAGGAATCATAAAATGAAAACATTAGACACAAATTGGACACAAATTGATTATAAAGCCACCTTTCTAACACTAATGCAGCTCATTACTTTGTCCACAAAGACCAAGAAAAATAACATCAAACTCAAATATTTTAGCTTCATAAGATTACTAATCCATATTTTGCTAATTATATAGCTTAATTTCCCATTCTTCTCACACCATTTCTAACATATTCCACATCCTTATTCTGCATCAAATATAGCAGATCTGATCAACTGGCAATCATTGAAAAACAACTCTACTTAAAATAGAAACTAGAATCTGAATTCTCTTAAACACAAGGACCTAGGTTAAAACATTAGCAGTCTTTGTGCTCTACTGTTTATATTTTCATACCAAACATTCCCCTAAAAAGGGACCTACATTTTCATATTTTAATAAAACATTCAAACAATTTCTTAAGATAAAAGCTGGATATTAATAACTTTAATAACAAATCTCATTAAGTTGCAGTGCTCATCTGCATCAAGTGATAGTTTTCCCAATCAGTTCACACAAAGGAATTCAAAACTAGACTTTATAGTCCTTTTAAACTTTATATTTTTTAGACTAAATAAATCCAAAGTTAAAAGTGAAAATGCCATTTTTTAATCGAAACTTTCCTTTTTAAGTAGGTTAGTTTAGTTTTTATGGTTAACTTTTTTGTACCTTTGAAAATTCTTCAGCCTCCTTTATATCTAATGACCGTGTTGCAAATTCTAACAGTTCTTCAGAGTTCTCCAGGGCACTATTACATTGACTAAGCTGACTCTAGAAAAAAAATAATCATTAAAATAAAATTTTCTATTCCTATCAGAATCTTAAATATATAGTTGTTATAATAAACTTAGAAACAACTTTAATAGCAATAATTGAACGAAAATATTATAGAGAGCTACTGAAGCAAGGTAATCACTAGTCACATTTTTAACAAATTTTAATTATCTTAATACATTGTACTTAACATCATAAGGAAAAATGGGACAAAACTAAACTTAAAAACTTCTCCACATTAAAGGAAATAATAAACAGAATGAAAGGCAACCCATGGAATGAGAGAAAATAAATGCAAATCATATATCTGACAAGAGGTTACTACCAGAATATATAAAGAACTCCTACAATTCAACAACAGCAAACAAGTACCCTGATTTAAAAATGGGCAAAATATCTGAATAGATTATTCTTGAAAGAAGATATACAAATGGACAGGTATATGAAAAGATGCTCAACATCACTAATCACTAGAGAAATGCAAAGCAAAACTATAATGAGGTATCACCTCACACCCTTTAGGATGGCCATTATCAAAAAAACAAAGTACAGGCAAAATGGGTCAAGGTGGTCAAAAGATACATACTTCCAGTTATAAAATAAGCCCTGGAAATGTAATGTACAGTATGGTGACTATAGTTAATAATAGTGTATAATATATTTAAAAGCTGCTAAGTGAGTAGCTCTTAAAAGTTCTTACCACAAGAAAAAAAATTTGTAACTATGTGTGGTGATGGATATCAACTAGATCTATTGTGGTGATCATTAAGTAATATATAAATATCAAGTCATTATTTTGTACACCTAAAACTAATATAATGTTATATGTCAACTATATCTCAATTAAAATAACAACAATAAAAATAGAAATAGCATGTGTTGGCAAGGATGTGGAGAAATTGAAACCCTTGTGCACTGCTAGTGGGAATGTAATATTACAACAGCATGGAAAATAGTATGGAAGTTCCTCAAAAAACTAAAAATAGAATTACCATATGGACCAGCAATCACACTTCTGGGTATATATCCAAAAGAATCTCAAGGAGATATGTGCACGCCCACGTTCACTGCAGCATTATTCACAATAGGCAAGAGGTAGAAGGAACTCAAATGTCCACAAGCAGACAAATGAATAAAGAAAATGAAGTATATACATACACTGGAATATTATTCAGTCATAAAAAAGGAGGAAATCCTGGCACATCCTAATGACGGACAGATCTTGAGGACATTATGCTGAGTGAAATGAGCCAGTTACAAAAGGGACAGATGCTGTATGGTTCCACTTATAGGAGGTATCTACAGTAGTCAAAATAATGAAAACAGAAAATACAATAGTGGTTGCCAGGCAGTGGGGTGAGGGGAAAATAGGGTATAGGGTTTCAGTTTGCAAGATAAAAAAGTTCTCGAGATCTGTTACACAACAATGTAAATGTAGTTAATACTTATGAACCAGTACATTTTAAAATGGTTAAGAGGGTAAATTATACATTTTTTTTAATCACAATTTAAAAAAACAAGGTATCTATGGCCAAAAAAGGGAAGAATCATTCCTCTACAAGATAAAAGTACAGTTACACACAGGAATTCACTAATTTTTGCTTTCAATAAATCAAGCATTAGACTAAAATTATTCATATTTAAATAGTTTTATGATCTCACCTGTAACTCTTGTGATTTACGAGCTTGTTCCTGCTTGATACTGTTAACCATACTTTCTTTCACTTCATCCAATATAGAGTATAAACTATCAAATTCTTCATCTAACTCTGAAAGTATGTTAGAAGAATTTTCCTATTTAATAAACAAAACAAAATGATTTTACTGAACAGCTGTCAGTCGTTAAAAACTAAAATATACTTATCAAAAGAGAGAATAGATCCATATTATAAACTCTAAGCCTAACATCATAAAAATAACAGAATTCTAGTACTTGGCGTAAGGCTTTAAAAACACAAAAATCCAAGAAGCTGGCTACTAATGTTGACAGTTCTATTTCAGCTATGCTCTGAGTTAAGCAGTCTTTTATGAACTAGCCTATGTGCTCTTCATGTTTTATAGTATTCTTTCCATAGGACAATGTGAAAGGTTGTTTTAAGGTTGCCAGCTTTGTCCAGACCTTTAGGCTCTACCACAGACCCTAAGTCAATAGTTCTCAACCTTTACTGTGTATCCGAATCATTAGTGAAGCACTTTAATAAAACACTCCAGAGATGTTTATTCTGTAACTCTTGAGGAATAGTTTGGACATACACGGATGGGGCTGATTTTGTGTAAATTTTTTTTTTTTTTTAATATATCTTTATTGATTTCAGAGAGAGGAAAGGAGAAGGGGAGAGAGAGAAACATCAATGATGAGAGAGTCATTGATCAGCTGTCTAGCCCACAACCCGGGCATGTGCCCTGATCAGGAATCAAACCCGGATAGCCTGGATCCTAGGTCAACGCTCAACCACTGAGCCATGCCCGGCAGGGCATGATTTTGTGTAAATTTTTAAATCTTTTAGGTTGTCTAGAATACTGCATTTACAAGAGACAAACAGAACTTAAAGACCAAGCAGTTCCTTACTGGATCCAAAGAGATTTATCAACCACTGGATGTGAGTGCTGAAAGGAACTTCAGAAATCACCTACTGACTAGAATTTGTAGTCAAACTGCAAAACTTTATGAAATTAAAGACACATAAGTGACTTGCCCGAAGCTATACAACTAGTTGCTAGTGGCAGAATTAATAAAGCATTTCAAGTCTGTTGACTTCTCACTGCCTCATTAAGTAAGATAATATTTCAACAAGAAATAATTTAAAATATCTCTTAAATCCCCAGGGAAGCCATATGTATACTTGTGAGATAGAAGTTATCTCACAATTATGAGATAGAAGAAATTATCTTAAGGCATTTTTCAACTTAAATGAATCATTTAATTAAGAAAAGCAAATTGGCCCAGCCAGGCGTGGCTCAGCGGTTGAGCGTCAACCTAGAATCCAGGCGATCGGGGTTCAATTCCCAGTCAGGGCACATGCCCAGGTGGCGGGCTCGATCAATGACTCTCTCATCATTGATGTTTCTATCTCTCTCTCTCTCCCCTCCTGTCCTCTCTCTGAAATCAATAAAGATATATTAAAAAAAAAAAAAAAAAAAAGCAAATTGGCACTGGCTAAGAGAACTAATACATACACTCTACTGTAATATCATAATCTAAACTTTTGCTTATAATGTTTATAAAAACCAGACATCACCATACCAGAGTCTTACCAAAAAGGGTGTTAATCATTTTACTAGTTTATTTACAATGGTAAAAACAAGCTGTGGAAGAAAATTTGCAGTGTGGAAGGCAGAAGACTTAAATCCCACAGCAACCACTCAATAATAGTATGAACTTGGACAAGCCACATAAATTCCTGGGCCTCAGTTTACTCACCCAAAAGGAAATGGACTACTCTTTTCCCCTCAATAAACAACTGGCACACTGTTATAGTCTCTTGCTCACTCCCTTGTATGCCCCCATCTTCAGTGACCAGTGTAGCTTAATAACTCCTCTATTTTTTTTTTTCTGGATTCCAAAGTAGAGTGCTATTAATCTGGCAACCAGAAAAATATTTTGGGTTAATTCTATCTTCTGGTTTCTTTGTACAGGTTTCAAATGTGATGATTCTCTCACCCACAAATCAAGAGTTTTAGAATTTCCAGTTTTGCTTACTTAAAAAAAGTGGATTTGTGAATTCACCAAATTTTCCAATAAAATAGTTCAAGAAAGACAGTTAAAGTGGTGAACATCATAATCAACTGACTTCAATTACAGTAAACTCAGAAGTAAAGGAAATACAATGACTATAAGGTCTAACAGGCCAAGGACCAGACAATTACCTAGGTTAAAACAAACAAAAACCCTAAGAAACGATTCACTGTCTACAAATGTCCTACAAATCACCTATGCTTATTTTACAAAGAAATGTCCTTTAAATTAATTAACAAACATTCATGGGAAAGCATCACCAGCTTATTTTAAGGTACCTCCCACCATCAACATTTGCTTATTTACAGTGAATTATCTCCCCAAACCTGGGACCATTTTCTTAATTATTCCTCTGTCTCCTCATTGGGCACTTTACCTTTTACTTTTATGTTTTACCTTCATCTAGTTCTACAAGGAGACCTCTTACCACTTACATTTTTCTTCCACTATTTACTGTATAAGGAATGCTTAGCTTCTCAGTACTTTTGAAAGGTACAATTTGCTCTCAGAATTAGAAAAGACAAACATAAAATGGAAAATGAGCACTGTAATATTCCCTAGTAACTACAATTCCAGAATTTTGTGTTTCCCTTACTACTCGATCATTCCATGGAGAATTGCAAGAATAGCAAAGAAAGTGTTTTTAATCTGACATTTAAAAACCCTGCTCTCATCTCCATTAGTTTATAATCTAGAGTTGATGGGTGTTTTTATACTTCTGATTTGATCCAACAATCATTCACTATAACATATTTACACAAACTTTTAAAAGAGATTCATTCATACCTGAACTCCTTTTAGTGTTTGATTTAGTGTATCAATGAAGTTCTGAATTTCATCATTTTTATTTGCCAGAGTTGAAATGATCCTTTGTAGAGCTTCCTAGAATAAATGAAACATTATGATATTTTAATAAAAGAGAATTATAAACTTCATTGACAATTCTCTAAATAAACACTATATAAGACTGCCTGGCCGGGCGTGGCTCAGTGGTTGAGCATCGACCTAGGATCCAGGCGATCGGGATTCGATTCCCGGTCAGGGCACATGCCCGGGTTGCAGGCTCAATCAATGACTGTTTCATCCTTGATATTTCTATCTCTCTCCCTCTCTTTTCCTCTCTCTGAAATCAATAAAGATATATTTAAAAAAAAAAAAAAAAAGAGTATATTATATAATAAATAGGAGCAATGTAAAGCTTCTCATTCAAAATCTCCAAAGGCCTATAACAACAAGGTGGGATATGTAGGTGTACTGTTTTAAAACCTCTTATTCCTAATATACAAGTTAATCACCATCATACCTTTCAGAATGAAGATGATCACTATTAATTAATATCAATAGTATTATTTTAGGTCATAAGGCTGTAGTAAAATAGAATCAAACCTTAAAGACTGCAAAAACAAATGGAAACTTCGAATACAACATGAGAGTATTAGGAATAAAAACAGAGACACTGAAATTTGACATTTTATTTACTTATAAAAATATAAAACATATTTTAGAAATATGAAAATAGGTAATAAATGTGCAGTTTAAATTATAAAATTCAATGTAATATTTATAGATGCTGTAGAAGCATAGTAAATAAGGTAAGTAATTTCAATAGCAAATACCTCAGACTTTTTGATAATGCTTCCTATGTAAATAAAACACTTGGTTATTTAAGTTTCACATACACTCTAGTTCAATACTATCCAATAAAATTTCCTGCTATGATGGAAATATCCTCTATATGTGCCATCCAATAAGACAGTCACTAGCCACATGAAGCTAATGTGCTTTTGAAATGTGGATAGAGCAACTGAGAACCTAAATTTATTTTTTTAACTTTAATTTCCCTTTTTATAGCCATGTGTAACAAGTACTGTCATATTGGACAGCAGAGGTTTAGTTATTTAATAACTCTCCATAGGTAGTAATAGCAAAACCCAAACAAGGTACTCATATCCTCAGTAAAAATCAAATGCAAGTACTTTTACTTTATAATTTTTCTGGACACACAAGCCTTGTATCTGTAAGCACCTACAAGTGTAAATATTTTAATAATTTCCCATAAGATTCTTTGTGATGAAGGTTCTCCTCAAAATATAACCAAATATTGATAAAAGACTATAAAAAAGAGCCCAGGAAATAATCTGATAAAGAGATAATACTTTATGTAAATGCTCATAAGGCATTATGATAGTGAAAAGTTAAAAAGAATTACAAGTTTTCATTTAATTCTCTCAACAATCCCTGCAGGTAAGTAGGTCTTATCATCATCCCTGGGGCTGCCTAGGACCCTCTGCTGTACTCACCTATAACTATTTTGTCCCATCCTCACTGCTTGTGGTATCTTAGTACAATAACACAATTAAGTTATGCTATGAAAGGAAACCCACACGAAGAGTTAGGTGTTTATCCTGGTGGTGTAACTCCCAGAAACAGGTGCACCGAGATTTGAATGCAAAGACGACCATTGGAATGGAGCCTGGACTTGGGGGAGAGGTGGGCACAGTTGGAGAGACATAGAAAAGGAGGGCAGATGACTTAAGAGTCTTCCAAGTTACCCTGGCCAGTTGGCTCAATGGGTTGGAGTGTCACCCTGTACACCAAAAGAGTGTGGGCTTGATCCCCAGTCAGGGCACATACGGGAGGCAACCAATGGATGTTTCTCTGAAACATCGATGTTTCTCTCCTTTCCTTTCTCTCCAAAATTAATAAACATAATCTCGGGTGAGGATTTAAAAAAAAGAGTCTTCCAAATATTCATGCAAGATAGGTTAAATATTTAAAAACAACACAATGGAACAGTAAAAACGATTCTGCTATCAGTAAGCTTCAGTAAGATTGGGCTTTTTCTGGTTCAAGGACTGCCTCCTCTTCTACCACTAATGGCAGGGTTACATCCATATTATACAAATGAGAAAATGGAGATTCAACTAGTTGCCCAAAATGATACTGATAGTAAGGTAAAGACCATGCTCAGTCTGTCACCAAAGCTATGCTCTTTACCACTTTAGAATACTTCCTCTAAATCTAACTAAATACATTAGCAATCATGGCTGCAGAAGCAGCAATCATCCAGGTGAACAAGAATCAGAACCCAAAGCAACTGTCGTGACCTTGGTAGCTAATGCAGAAAAAGTGGTGCCTTTACCCTAAGCTTTTCTAAATTTAGAAGAAAAGGGGGGCAATTCCTTGAAAGTTCCATAAGAGCAGGCTGCTGAGTGAGACAAGGGCTCCAGAAGCTCTGAAGCCACTTGCCCTTTAATCTGCTGCTGTGAAGAGAATGAGCAAACCCAAAAGGCTGCAATCAAGAGCTCACAATTAGTGTTCTACTATAAAGGAAGTTCACCAGGGAGGGCTGGGAAATAACTTATGAAAGGGACCAGAGCTTTTACCATTCTGGCCCTCATAAGGATAGGGACTTGCTAGGATGGAAATGGCAGAAGATAGAAAGAACTAAGAAACTCGGAGATCAGTAGAACTGGTAAACAAATGACAAGTAACCAAAATATTTAAGACAAACTACCACCAACACCAAAACTTATTTAGAAAAAAACAAACCAAAACTAAAAGATAAGGACATGAGCTGAGTTCTGAAACTTAACCCTAGCTTGTACATGTAACATGAAGCTGACGTTTTCTCCAGGTGGTAGGAGTCAGAGAAGAGGTATACACCAGGATAGTGTGTGCCCAATACAGGAATTATGCAAGAGGAGAGTGGTTGAATAGGTACCATATCTAGCAGAATTCTTTTTTTAAAAAAATTTATCTTTATTATTGAAAGTATTCTAGCAGAATTCTTAAAACGTATTTTCTAAATATGGCAGGCAACATGCCAGAGCAGGATATCTGTATATTCTATATTCAGAAACTTCGAGAAACAGGCAGAAAAGAACTAAAAGATACCACAATGCACTGAGTTTTCTACCCCATTCTATTGTTCCAGCTCCTCCAAATTTAATCAATGATGTTTCTAATGGAGACCCAAGTAATTGATAGAGAAGTTGAGGAGCAAGTGCCAAGCCAGGAGTCTCAATGAGTGCGATGTAAGCTGTGCACAAACTGCGCACCATTAGATACAGCACCTCTCCTCTGAGCTCCAGACCATTTTAATCCAACTGCTTACTTGAAATCTCCACTTGGATGTCTCACAAGCACTTCAAAACTCAACATGTCATAATGTCCCCCACTAAACCTGAGCCCCCCTCCTGTGTTCTATCTCTGCAAATAGCACTACCAGCTGCAAAAACAGAAATGTATACACAATGTATTGTTAGAAGAAGTTCTAGCCCTGGCCGGTGTGGTTCAGTTGGTTGGAGTATCGTCCTGTGCACCGAAGGATCTCAGGTTAGATTCCCGGTCAAGGAACGTACTAGGTTGTGGGTTTGATCCTCATGGGGGCATGAACTGGAAGCAGCCGACTGATGTTTCTCATATTGATGTTTCTCTCTCTCTCTCTCTCTCCCTTCCTCCCTCTCTAAAATCAGTAAAAACATATTCTCAAGTGAGGATTAAAAAAAATAAGTCCCCCCCAAAATATTTATAGAATAAGCCCATTAGGACATATATCTGCCTCATTTATTATCAAAGCCTGAGGGTGAAGGAAGGCAAGAAAACTTTCATCTGCTCCATGGGATCCTATCAATCTGAAAGGATGCCTACAAGGGTCTCAGATTTCATCTCAGATCTCAAGTCTCCCATTACCTTGCAAACACTGATGGACAAAGTGATAAACATACATGGATAAAGGCTATATAAATTATCCCAAGCTTCTCTAGAAAATTTAATTGTATTTTGCAAGATGTCAGGTGGCCATACTAAAAATTCTAGATGATCTAAGTCTAAAGATATGCTTTGACAAACACCAATTTTGCTGGATCATAGTAAAAGATATAGGACAAAGGTCTCCAGAGAAGTGTGCAGAGGCAATCTCAGACACAATCCTTTGGTTACAACCA